TTCTAAACAACTCTTTCTTTCCTTAATATTTTCCTTCCTAAAAAGTTCCAAAGTCTTCAGCGACTCGTCAATCATTAAAAGTCTAAAACTTCAAAAAAAGCGGGTTTTTAGCAACCAATTTATATCCAACAATTTCTGCTGATCCTGCTGCTGAATTACCAACAAAAAATCGTCACAACAGCAATCAATTTAAAAAAGTTGCTTGAAACGACGAATAATAATAAAAATAATAATAAATAGACAAAAAAATAGATAAATAAAGAATCAGAAAACCTCATTCCAAAACTTAAGCAAGCAGGCAAAGCAAAAAAGAAAAAAAAAAACAAAACTAAGAAAAAAACCAGATTCAATAAAAAGTAGCAGTGAAAAAACTGCTTCATATTACAAAAAGATACATAGCAGCAAAAGTTCATTGAATCAAAAAGGCAAATCAAAGAAGCATTTATTATCAGAATCACTGAATAAGCAATTGCAAACTAATGTTTGTAATAATATTAATACTGTCATACAAAACGGCTTCAACAGTATCAAATAGGATGAAGATGACGACGACGACGACGACGATAACGACTATTCGAAACAGCGGTACTCCTCACTTCCCAAAAAACTGTTTCACGTCGCTTTTCTTGTTTCTTCCCCTTCCCCCCCCCCCGTGCTACTCATAAGTATCTTTCTTTATTACTTATTATCCAAAAAAAACCTCTTCTTTTCATCTATATGCCAATAAAGATCCAAAAAGAAAGCCTAAATACTGCAGCTGAAACTAAAAAGCTCTGAAATTTTTTTTTCAAAAAAATCAGTGAATAATAGCAATCTCGATACTTCAATGTATATCACAATCTATTGCAGCAAACTAAAGCTAAAAACCGAGAAAACATATAAGCTCCATTTTTTGTTCCCAAAATACTTTACCAGTACAGATGTTCAGTGATTGTCATAACAACCACAATTTTCTCACTGCTAAACGTCGTCAGATGTCAACGATTTAATATAATTACATCACGAGAAAGTTACTGGAACCAACATTTACTTGGGCAGTAATTTCAAATAAACCTGACTATATTTTTAGTTTATCGGCTGCCCAGAAATTTCAGTTTAACCAGTAGTCTAACCACCACTTTTGACTTGACCAGCTTCGGAATATCAAATAAACAAATATCTTCACCACAAGTACCACTCCTTAACTGCATCAAAAATGCGTTCATTTAAACAAAACTGAACCCGTTTACTTCACTGAAAGCATTTACAAAATCCCATCATACTTGCTAGAAGTCTATCTTATCTTTAGCACATCTGGAAGGTTGCGTGTATCAGGAAGTATATCAGACAGACACTTATCATCGTATCAAAATCTGAATCCACAAAGATGTTATTTAACCACAACAAGAACAGGTATGATAAAAAAAAAA